TATAGAAATACAGCTATCACTCTGGCTAACCCAATCACTTAGTTTAGACAGATAACACAGACTTTAAGCTACCACATGATGTCTTTTAATTCCTAGCTTATCAACTCAGTCCTTTCAGTAATGGAACATTTAGTTACAGCTTATTGCTTGTTTGTCATAGTATTAGAATAGTGGAAAATATTTGTTTTTACTCTTGCATCACTGATACTAGGATTAAAATAGGTGTTAGAAGAAAACTACTAAGTTGCTGGTTTTAATTTCCAATTTACCAAAGTTTGTAAGGAAATTTATTTTTCTACTTTGAAATGTTGGTTTGTGGTGATATTTCATTAGTTTTGAAGTGGTTTAAGGAAGATTGAAATTGTGCAGCTGTGTTATTAATTATTACTATAGTGAAGTATTAAATAGAGATTTTAAAGATCCTGATATTGGAATATCTAGTCATTATCTAGTTAGTCAGTTTGTTTCAAGATGAGGAGATCCAGTAGCTGGAGAGAAACTAGACTAGAAACATTCCAGGACAGCTCTCCTTGCTCCTGGGGACAGAAATATGGCCGACCTCTGACACCACAGTCCTCACCAGCAGTTGAAAGATCTTCTAGATTTGAATTTCATAGTTATGATACAGAAGTTGGGCAAGTATTTTATGTCACATATGAGCTTACATTATTATAGTGATTTGACCAAAATTAAAATCTTTTGAGCTAGGACACAAAAGTCTACATTTCTGCTAAAAAAATAGGCCTCGCTTAAATTTTCTGAATATTCGGCTAATAATTTATGATAAGATTTCAATATATGTGGAACAGCTCAGTTGGTAGTAAGTTGGATTGTCGTTGACTCCAAGATGATTAATTCTGATGCCAGTGCTTCTGAGAGTCTGCCCAGTGTTGGCTTGCAATTCAACCCCTGTCATCAATAGATTTATAATTGTTTATAGGATACTATTTTTTTTTTCTTTCAAATCATTTAGCTACTTCAAATTAAGAAAATTAATGGAAATTGTCACAGGCTTTGAATTTTGTGCACAAAATTATATCCTTTACATAGATAAATTCAATTACTCATTATGATTAAAAATCAACCAACTGAACAGAAATTAAATTAAAAATTATCTAGTTAGAATTAGACCAAACTTTCATTCCATTTTATATCAGCTTTTCATTTTTATTTTAGGCACTTAAGCCAATCAAATTTCTGCCGTCTCCAATGCTGGGATTTTGTACCGCAAAGAAAATATGAATATCCGAGAAGAATTAGACACTGAATACCTTTTGTTTGTGTCATAAAAATCCCAGCATTGGAAAGGTTGATTTGAGTGGTTAAAGTGTCATCTGTGTTTATGATATACTGTAAAAACTGTCTCATGATAATTTCAGGTTCATTATTTTGAGTACCGGTATCATTTATTTCCATATGTACATAAAATACCCCACGCTACTCTTGTGTGCCAAATTCCATTAGATAGTTTTCTTTAAATATACTTTATATTGTAGTTAGCTATTGCTATTTAAATCCCTGGCGTAGATACAAGGCCTTTTATAATGTTTTTGTCTGTATTTGTTAAGGATTGATGTTTAATGCTCAACACTTTATGTTGTTACATGTTATTTTTTTTCAATGCACAAAGTCTAATATTACTAATTAACACTAATCAATGTAAAAAGGTCATGAATAATTGATGAAATAAAGTTAGGGATAAAGCTTAATTAATTCTGAACTAGATAATTGATGATTATCTTTGTCTTTTTATCTGTTTCTATCTAACTTCAAAGAAGTTGATGTCAACTGAAATATCTGAATATATTTTAATATCAATGGTTAAAAGATTTACTAACCATAAACTTTCTGTTATCAGTGGACAGTGGGTTTCATTTTACATTTTTGATGAATAAACTTTATCGAAAGTGATTCTTGTAAAAAGGAGATTTAAGAAGTCCTTGTTATACTTCATGATAGAAGTTAAAGGGATGTTATCTTTATAATATATGTACCAGGTGAAAGAGTTCAATTTCAGCTTTTCATAGCACAGTTTTGAAAGTAAAATTCTATTTGATTTCAATTTCATTTCTTTTATTTTCTTCTGATATTTTTTGTCTCCATTGTAACCTAACAGTTTTCTAATGCAAGTCATGTTATATTGAGGTTATTTTTAACCAATCAAAGCTTCATGTAAGACCTGGTTTTTTTTTTGGATAAAAAAATGATTTTTGCTATTTGAAGGCTGTCATATTGCTCTACTTAGTGTTTTGTTATCCACTTACCACAATTGGTCATCATTATTAAGAAACAGGTCCCACATGACATACTTTAAATGGTTGAACATAGGTTCATTAGAATGCAACTTCAGTAAAAAGCTTGTTAGATTACAATGGAGATGAAAAATATCAGAAAAGAAATAAACAGCAGTGACAACTGACAACAGGCTAAACTTTCATTGTTTGCATATTTGTTGAATTGCAAAAATAAACAACAGACCTTGAATTTTAGATTTTGATATCTGAAATATTGTTCTTATCATTTGGTAAAGCAAACTTTTTATTTAATGTATCTAAAAACAATTTAAACATCATGACTGCCTGTCATATAGTCAATAGCCTGTCTGTTTCTTATAGTATTTTTATATTGTCAATTATTCTTTCATCTCTTAGTTAAAATATTTACTGTATAAAAAGTATATAAGTATATGAAATATAATAAAGTTTAATAAAAAGCGAAAGTCTATACAGAGGCTAGTAAATAGTCCACATTCCACTAGTATATAGTTTGTCACTTTAACACATTTCAACACCTTTATCTACACCTAAACCAATGAAAATAGGTTGTAGCCTACTTCACTTCACCAATTATAAGGTAGAAATGATTTTTACTGGTAGTTTGAAGTATTTTGATAAACTAGTAAAGGTAGATATATAAGTTTATAGATGTAGTGGTATATTATCATATATAGGATATTTGAATCTAGCTATGTAAGTATATATAACTGCTATATACCTGTCACAATGATTTATATTCATTATAAATATTTATTCTGGCCACAATGAAATGAAAATTGAAATACATGGTTTTAAAGTCTTACATGCATATGGTTAATGCAGGTTCAATGAATTTAAATTCAAAGTTGTCAAGTGTTCAATATACACTAGCTTATATATTCCTTCAGGAAGAAAAGCACAAAAGAAAATTAAATGTGTAATTAATCTAAGAATAATCTTCATATTGCTGACAAAATCAAGAAAGAAAACATGAAATGAAGTCCTAATATCATCACTTTTACAGTAAATTTAACATTGTATACAAGTTTCATGTATAGTTTATGTTATAATTTGAATTAAATCAGGTGGTTGTGATATATGGTAATAAATATTTCACAACCATGCAGATTGTGCTTGACTCAGTGGTGATTTTCTGTGGAAAAATCCATTTTTTTTTTTTAACTCTTGATCACGATGGTCACAAATACTATTAAGTACAGATGTGCTGTTGTGGAGCTTTGAGGGTTTTCAAAAAACACATGGAAAAGAAATAGAAAATGAACTGATAGGTCTATAAAACAGGGTACAGAAGTGGAAATGGACCTCTTTGTTTTATCAAATTGATCAAAAGTCTAATTAAAACTCAAATTAACTAAATCAGTCAGTGTGTGTTTGTCTCAATGTCTTTTCCTCTATACATCAAGTTTTGTCAATAAAGTTTCTGAACTGGAGTTTTCCTAAATAAATATCAACTCTTATATCTTTGATCTCCTTTTAATTAAAACTTGTTGGTGTGTAAAATCTTGGACCAGTGTGCTCATTAAATAGATTGGTGTAGAAAAACTTGTTAGAGATGAAAGGCTATTTGTTGTTGATGATGGTTTTGGAATTTGCTATTGGTCATATATATTGAGGCATTTGCTACCCATACCCTGTTGGCTTCATCCTTGCTATATAGTCCCATGTTTACCCTTTTTACATTTCATCTGATGACAGCATTTGTAATTGTGTTGAAACAACATCATTACTAAAGGGACAGATGCACCATTTTCGGATGTTGATTTGAGTTTTGAATATATGTAAATAGTCTATGTAAATAGCACCATACTAGAAATGTACGAAAATCATATAATTCCTTAAAAATATCTCAAACTAGAAATTTCTTTTCCTATTTCTATAGATGTCTCTTCTGTATATGGCAACGTCTCATAAAAATACATAGATTTGAAGACTCAAATTTTCGGCAGAGAGCTATGAACACTACTTCTGATTGGCTAAGCTAAAATAATTCTGTCACTTTAAAGTAGTGTGTTATACTTATTCAATGTATGTGTTCTTCTCCTCTTTATGTTGTTCAATTCTTCAACAATTTGATCTATTAAGTCACTGATCTGTTCTTTCTTAAAGCCAATACTTTCTGTGTTGCACCAAATATATCTTCATATTATATTTTTTTTCAACACAAATTTTCCTACACATCTATTCATAATACCTAAAAGGGTATTTAAATCTATTTTTAGAAATATTCAGATTAAAGGAAGCCTTTTTATTATATCTATTTAATAAAGCAGATAGTATACCTTTATAAAGCAATTCAGCCTTATTTATCGAGCATTGAAAAGTCTTCCTACTGGACTTCTTTGAATTCTTTCTAAGAGCAGAATGTATTTGAAAGATGATTTCTGATTGATTGGTCAGTTCTTTCAGTGATTTTATAAATACCACTCCCATTGTATGTGATTCTTTGCAAAAATATAATTTGACAAATTCAAAAAACTGTTCAGAATGTAGAATCAAAACAGTAAACAACCATTCAAGATTCTGTTTTTTTTTATACTTATTAATATATTCAGGAAATTGTGGGTTTCCAGGCAAATAATCCATAATTGTGATCTGTTTTTCAACAATCTTTAGTATTATTATCAGTGAGTTTTTTTTTCAACTAAGAGTATGTGAAAGCTGATTGCTTTTTATTTTTCATTTTATTTAATAACCTTCATTTCTGTTGTATGTTTGTTTTCCAGGGAGCAACCATTATTTTCAACCAAGGCCCACGTTTTTCAAATTGATCCTGATACTAAGAAGAATTGGATACCAGCCAGTAAACTAGCTATTAATGTTTCTTATTATTATGATAATGGTCGCAACTCTTACAGAATTGTTGGTGTTGATGGTTCAAAGGTAAGAACTCCTCAATCTTGAAAATTATATAAAGTATGAACTTTTCAAATATTACAAAAAAAACTTACTGGTTGTGTTAAAATCTGGTGACCTTGAATAAGTCATCTTTCCTCATTGCACTAGTCAACCCAGCTGTACATGGACACAGACAATACAGGGAAGATCAATGCCAGAAGATTTTGCCAAGGAGCAAGTCCTTATCCTTATAAAAATGGTGGTTACTTAATTTTTGTCATATCATTGAAACCATTGTTTAATGAATGAAGATACAGTATGTTATGTTTCTTGGGGACCTGAATCTGGATTTGCTGGTCCACAAAATCCACAGAATTGAATCTGACATGATTACTCGTGTACTAACATTTTTATTATAGGCATTGGTTAACAGTGTTATTACCCCCAATATGACATTTACTAAAACCTCTCAGAAATTTGGTCAGTGGTTAGACCCAAGATCTAGTATAGTATATGGTTTAGGATTTCCTACTGAACAGGACTTAACCAAGGTAATGTAAAATAGTATGTAATGAAAAATATGAAATTCTTAAACTTGGCTAATTAAGAGTATATTATGCATTCATTCACTGGTGTCAATTTTAACTTTATTATAGAAACCCTCCATAATCTGATGAATTCATAAACTAAGTAATTATCCTTAAATATGCAAGTTTCTAAAATGTTAAAGTCTATAAAAAATAGAATTGGTAAAAATTAAAATGACTAAGCAATTAGTAAGTCATACCATAATACAATACATCAATTTCTCAAATTAAAAATAACACATAAGTCCCCAGTGGTATTAGAATAGTTTAGTAGGTAGCTAGTTTAATTGTCACCTGCTGGATGATTTATTGTTGCTTTGAAGCTGGATCTTATCATTTGTCAGAGACACTATCAATAATTAGGCAACTATTATTTTGGATAAGTCATTAGAAATTCAAGTCAGATGCCATATGTATGAAACTTCTTCAAAACTACAGAAGTTCTGATCTCATGACTATTGCCTCCAAGAGTCCTTTTAGTGTTCAGATCTCAACATCTTTCACATACAATATTATGCTTGAAAAAATTCAAATAAAAGGGAGATAACTCTTTGATGAATACAAAGTGAATTTGTTGTTGATTCTCCATTCTGGAAAGAAAAATTTATAGTTGTGTTCTTTAAATGATATTGAATTTTTCGAACTTATAACTGAAAAGTGCTAAAAACAATAGTATTTCCAAGGTTAAGTTATGTGATGTGATCATTTTACTAGTGATTTGAGAACTGAGAACTGAAGTGTCGAATGTTACCTGTGACATTGTTTGGTCAATAAAGAGTGACCAGTGGTCAGTAAGATGAAACAATGTCAATAGAAACTTTATAATAGTAGTGGTCCTGTTGAAATAATAAGACATGTTAAGTCTGTATAGTCAGTTTTAACGTTACTATGTTAATACATACAAACTAACATATTGAATTTTAAAACAAATTTGTCTTGCTACTTATAAGGTCTGTCATATATAGAAAAAAAAATCTTAGTTTGAGTTATTTTTGAAGGAACATTTTAGTAGTTCTGAAGACTATATGTAAATAATTTCAAGAACCAAATCAACACCTGCATATGGCAAACCTTTCCCTTTAATGATGCCCCTAGAATCATGAACTAGCCGATAATGACAATTTGTATGGACCTTCTCTGTGAAAATCATTCTTCCTTTCAGTTTATAGAGAAATTTAAAGAAATTAAAGAATTAACTCGACAATCCTCAGCTCAACCTATACAGGAAATTAACGGTAGTGAAAATCATTTAGATACATCACATCATAATACAGCACAACATTCTCGTAATAGTAGTATCTCATCTGTCCAGGTTAGTATCATGATTATGATTAAGTGAAACATTAAAAACACAAACTATTATGATTAAGTGAAACATTAAAAACACAAACTATTATGATTATTATTCAGTGTAACATTAAAAACACAAACTTTATGATTATTATTCAGTATAACATTAAAAACACAAACTATTATGATTATTATTCAGTGTAACATTAAAAACACAAACTTTATGATTATTATTCAGTGTAACATTAAAAACACAAACTGTTATGATTATTATTCAGTGTAACATTAAAAACACAAACTATTATGATTAAGTGAAACATTAAAAACACAAACTGTTATGATTATTATTCAGTGTAACATTAAAAACACAAACTTTATGATTATTATTCAGTGTAACATTAAAAACACAAACTGTTATGATTATTATTCAGTGTAACATTAAAAACACAAACTTTATGATTATTATTCAGTGTAACATTAAAAACACAAACTGTTATGATTATTATTCAGTGTAACATTAAAAACACAAACTATTATGATTATTATTCAGTGTAACATTAAAAACACAAACTATTATGATTATGATTAAGTGAAACATTAAAAACACAAACTATTATGATTATTATTCAGTGTAACATTAAAAACACAAACTATTATGATTATTATTCAGTGTAACATTAAAAACACAAACTATTATGATTATTATTAAGTGAAACATTAAAAACACAAACTTTATGATTATTATTCAGTGTAACATTAAAAACACAAACTATTATGATTATGATTAAGTGAAACATTAAAAACACAAACTATTATGATTATTATTCAGTGTAACATTAAAAACACAAACTATTATGATTATTATTCAGTGTAACATTAAAAACACAAACTATTATGATTATGATTAAGTGAAACATTAAAAACACAAACTATTATGATTCAGTGTAACATTGAAATACAAACAATTATGATTATTATTATAACATTAAAAATACAAACTATTATGATTATGATTCAGAATTTGCTTTCAGTCAAGTGACAGTGGTAGTATTAGAGAACGCAGGAATTCTTTCACTCAAAGTGGTGGACATTCTCCTAGTCAAACAGAAGTACAACTCAAATATGAAAACGACAGGTTAAAATTGGCACTTGCTCAAAGGTGATTAGTTTTAAATTTTTTGTTAGGTACAAAAGTTTTTGGACAAATTTTGTTGAATTTCTACTGAAGTCTGACAGGACATTGTTGAGACTGTAATTTAAACATTGTTATCTCATTCTCATGTCGGAAACAAAGAACACTTTGTGCAGCTTGTATATTTCATTCAATTTTCTTATTATTTTCAGTTCAGGAAATGCTAAGAAATGGGAAGTTGAATTACAAACATTAAAAAATAACAATGCAAGATTAACAGCAGCATTACAAGAAAGTACATCTAATGTTGATGAATGGAAGAAACAATTAGCCAGTTATAAAGAAGATTGTACACGTTTAAAAGCAAAGGTAAGATATTGATTAAAAAGCAGTAGCACTTTTGTGTTGGATGAGGAATTTTCAACTCTTATCTTACTTTCATGTAAGTGCTACTCTTCAGTTCATTAAATTTATAATGAGTAGCATACAAAATATCAGATAGATAAACCAAGTATATCTGCATATGGAGAGATGGAATTTAACTCTACTTGAAATGCAGATACTCGAGTTTATGCTGTTGGTGATTGAACCAGATTAAATTTGTTTGAAAGATGAACATCGAAGGAAGTTTTACCCCTGTAGAGTGACCATAGAAAATGTTGCCATTCAATTTTAAAAATTTAGTCAATTGTTTGGTATTTTAATCAGTAAAGCTTATAAATATATTTGGGAAAAAATGCATAACTTTATCTCTTTGTTCATAGAAATTGGCTGTAACATATTTAAGCATGCTAACCTGGTAACTATTTTGCACAAAACACTTCAAAGTTTTCAGACAAATTTCAAGTGATCAAAGTTTGACAAGTCTCCTTAATAATAAAGATATAAAGTGTTGGACATGTGAAGAATTTCAAGGTTGATCTTTACAATGACCTATGAGTAGACATGATGTACTTCAACATTTTTGAAGTAAAATATTTGTCTATGAAAGTGTTTTATAGTGAAATCTAATGCTAATAAGACTGTTGGTAGTTGTCATTTTGAGGAAATTTGTGGTATTTTTCAGGGTTATGTTGAGTTCAGTAATTGTAGTAATGTTTACAGAGTAAATAAGTCAACAATTTGACAGTTATTTACTCTTTCAAACTAGGCCATTTCACATCAATTAGTACCATTGAAATACTAATTTTACTTTGATGTTTTTAGCTCTTTAGATTTCGGATTTTTTGCCTGAATGCATATTCGCAATTAGCCATCACCATTATATTGTTCAGGGTCAATTAAACTTGTAAGTTTTGTGGAATTATGGCAAAGATTATCAAATTCGAATTTTAAATTCATCCATTAAAGTAAAATTGATTGAGGCATGTATCATTTCTAAATTTGCTGTGCTGATATTGAGTATGAATGAGTTTTTGTTAGTAGATGTTTTGCTCATGTCCAAGTGTTGAACTTACTTTGGTGTAGCAAAAATAAAATATAACCATCATATATTAGTCTCTTATCCTCACTAAACTTATATATCTGAACGTATAAAATGAGTTACATGCTTGAAGTTCAGCAATCCTGACAATGGTTGAACTGAAATCTTCAGATTTTCCTAGTTTTCTATGTAAGAGAGGGAGGTAGGTGCTAGCATGACAAAACATCATTTGGATGGGACAACAATCTGAGATCCTATGTGCTGCCAAGCTGTGTATGGTAAAGACACCTCTTTACAGTTGTCAAGACCAAGCCATTGCTACTATCCTGAGACTCCTGACAAAATTTACTATTTAAGATGAAGAACTCCATTTCATTTCATTTGTCACTAAATGTTTGGTGAAAGGTCTCTATAATTGAAGACAAGTTAACCAACATGAATGGATTTAAGAGTTAAGATGTACACAATAAGAGAGGAAATAAACAAACATTGTGTTGGTGAAGGAAGAGAGGGTTCTAAAACAAAGCCTACCACATTGTTGGCCATGTATCATTGTGGTGAAGGTTAGTACTTTATTCAGAATATCTCGAAAGTTTTTCATCTAATTTAATATACAAGCAAGTTTTGTTCTGTTAATCTGTGATGGTCAAAGTGATGTTTAACTATTGTTTATTGGTATTTTGAATATCAACATTTTTAGTTTGTTCTTATAATGCAGGATTTGATCAATATATTTTATAGTATTGAGTAGTGTGTTTTTTATTTATGTATCAATATGATATTTACTTATTTTATGGTGTTGAGATATATTGTTCAGATATATCAGAACAGATAGTTGGAAGTATGATTAAATTCTAATAGTTTCACTTTAATAATAAGCCAACTTATTGACAAGCAGGGAAGAGCCCTATCCTACTTACCTGTAGTACTTACAAGAGGTTTGACTAATTCTTATGGATGTTAAACTTTATAGTCTTTGTCATATTGTTTCCCAAGTTTATATTTATTATACCTGTGTGTACTTTATGGTTATCTATGTATGATATTTATCGAGACTCAGAAGAGATCCTGGTGAAAATGGAGTTGATCTGCCTATTTTCAACACCACTTTCATGGAAAATTACTAGTCAATCGTAACAATGGACTATGAATATGGCCTGTGTGTTACAGGTTGTGTACGTTAAAGATCCAGGATAGTTGGAAATCAGAAAAGAAAAGGCTGCTGCATTTGAAAATTTAATTCTTTGCCTATTAATTGCATTGTCTGTCTTCATTAGACTTCTGAATCAGTAGAAATGTAATTTTATTTCAATTCATTTATGATCTTTAAATGTTTTAATTCTGACTGTCAAGTGACTCAAGTCAAGTGTATTTTATCTGTATATGATTTTGTAGTTATTAGAAATGGAAGAGAAAGGTTCTAGTGAAGAGAGTAGAAAATTACTAGATGAAATATCTAAATTACAAAATGAAATATTAGAATTAAAGAATAAAGACAGTGATAAAGATAAGGTAAGATATGATTAGTAAATATAATATTATTTGATACAAGACTCAGTTGTATTCAGCCATAAAGAGAATAAGAAATTAGTGAAAATTTAATGAAATCTATCATTGTATTTCAGTTTGTTGAATCAAGAAAGTTTTTTAAATCAGGATATAATATTAAGCATTGATTATAAAAACAAAATGCTTGCCTTATAAGATTGATCCCACTTAACCAAAAAAACAAATATTTAACTACCATTTCCTAAATATATAAAAAACGTACCACTAAGTTCTAGATATCATTTTAAAATCCAGTTTGTTTTTTTAGGAAGTAACAGAATTACAAACTAAGATAAAGGAATTCAATATGCAAGATATAGATAGTTTAACTTTACAAAAACGAGTTCAGGTTAGTTATTGTTAAATGTATTATTATGTATTTTATTGTATTATAGATTAGTTTTTAGTCAATTTTTATGAAATCTGATAATCATTTGGAATTCCTTGAAAACTATGTATGTACAATACAACACACACAGTCAGCTAGTAGTAGTTTGTATCTTTATTTTACAGTCATTAGAAGAGGAGAATCTTGACTTATCAACCAAAGTTCAGGATTTACAAAGACTGTTACATGAATCACGTAACTCACACGATCAAGAAAACAATGATCTTATCAAACTACAGAATAAAATGGGTTCAAAAGTTACTGAACTATATGAGTTACATGAACAAATTATTTCAACCATTAAAAAGGAATCGAATTCATGATGGAATTATTCTGTAATTATGGACACTGCTGATCTGAATCAAATTGCAAAATTAGTGCAATTTAACAATAATACCAATACTAATGCAATTGCCAAATTGTTGTTCTGACTAGTTGTGTTGGTGTATTCTGCAACAATTGCTGAAGTGCTAAATGGTTATTCAATAACCATAATGGTACTTACTGAACAATACAATTTATCATGAGAAAGGTAATTGGAGAAAATCTAAAGCTGTCTTGTGTAGAAGATGAGTTGATTTACTAAATTTTGTCTACAGTTAAGAGTTTACTTCATATATAAATTCCTGTTTCCATCCTAAGGTTTTAATGTAATCAAAATGGCCAAAGTTAGTTCAAAAATTAAAGTGCCAATACATCATGATAATGTTTATTCATATTATTATGTGAACTGAATTACAGATGATAAGATATATAACAAAGCAATAATATTATTAATATATAAGATGTGAGTGAAGGTTTTCCTTATTTTACAATTCAACATAGAAGTCTTGAAAAATGTCCTTCCAAATGTGTTATTTAAAGGGGTACTTCGATTTCATTTCAAAATGCTAAAACTCATTTTGCAATTTTCATCAGCCATCAGCCATCAAGCAAAAAAAGTACCATTAACAATGTTCTGCTTTTAATTTAGAATCTGTGATGTCATTAATTCTGATAGGATTAAAGGCAGGTGGACCATTTTGCGGGGTTGATTTTAGTCTTGAATATATATCCGTCTTTATATGACAGAGTATCTTAAATTGACAAGTCATCATTTTAACATTCAAACGCAGATAATTCTGGACAGACATGGATTTGGAGACTGTGAGCTGTGAACACTATTACTGATTAACTCAGCTAAAATTTCCAGTTTCTATGACTAAAGTATAATTGGTCAGAAAAAAGGCCTACCAGTCCCTTTAAGTCAGATTTGTCATTAACAAGTTTATCATGTCTGAAATTTGTGTAAATTGAACTGACTGAAGGCTATAAAGAATTGGCATTATACATAAGTTATGAACAGTATTTATATCATCAGTATGTCTCACTTTAAGTATTTAATTCACAATTATAATGTTTACAATCTTTATAATGTCAATATGTTATACCTTATATTGAAACAAATACTTCAATTAATAAAATTAGACTTATTTTAGGTATTTTAAGACAATTATCAGCATGATTTTTGTCACTATTCCTGATTTATGGCTTGTTACTTAAGAACTTGAAAAACTTTTTGAACCTTTATGAAACTTGTTTTTTTTTTTAATTTAGACCAATAAGATTAGACTTTTATAAATAACCTACTACTGATTATCTTAGAATTGGATGGTCGTTAAAATGGAAAAAAGATATTTTTGCACATTCAGGTCTAATTCAGAACATAAACATGAGTTGTGCAATTTATTTTTGAATAGAATAGATAAAAATTGATAGTAAATAGACCAGACCTTTTTTCTGTCCATTTCTACTTAACCAGCTACAAAAGGTGAATGACTTGTATGTCCTCAAATATCTTTGCACCACTATACTGTCTGTTTCTATTTATTGAAATAAGATAAATTGTGCAATAATAATTTTAAAGCAATCAAGAAGGAAGTATATAGAGGGAATTGTAAAGAGATTTTCTGAATTTTTTTATGTGTATCAGGGACAATGAAAGCATCAATTTGCCCCAATGGAAAATTGGAATGGGGCAAATTGATGCTATCAGTGTCCCCAATACACATAATTTTTTTAGAAAATCTCTAAAAAATCCCTTTAATGCATTTAGTTGTTCTGGGAGTAGTGATTGTTTGTGTTGAAATAGAATTGCAAACTAATCTGTAATTTGATAATGATCCTTTAATGATAAAAATTCTAAATTTATAGTTTTTTTCATAAAGAATTTAATTTCACACAACAAGACAGACAGACTGACCGAAATTAAAATAGTGGGGACCATACAAAAGTTGTATGACTTTATTTACATTAAAGGTAGACAACTATGAATTCAGCTTTCAATATAATAATGCCCTACAATATATTTATTAAATGTCTCAGCAACCAGTTTGTTATTATATGTTGATGTATTTGAAATGTAGGAAAGTAATATATTAAAGTGATACTACGTCTTAGAATGAACATAAAATTTCTCGAAATGGTCAATATGAGTATATATTCATCAGTTAGCTTACCTGGTGTCATAAAGTTACAGCAGAATCCCTGTAAAATCTGGAAAATTGGAAAATTCATAAAACTAAGTAATTATTGAAAAACGCTTAATCTTGATATTAACAGTTTTGCAATAGTTAATTGCATATTTAAGTTTTTTGGATTTATCGAATTACATAAGGATCCTGTTATGTTATTTATGACACCAGACTCTTATTCGCCAAGTTTAAAATTCTTCAATTTTATGTTAATTCTAAGACGTAGTATCACTTTAAGTTAGTATATTGTTGTTTGATGAAATTCTACAGTGTTGTGAAGTTTCATAAGGAAAATGATTTATAGTTATTTATTATTAGAAATATATTTTATTACCAATGGCAATATTACACTCTATATCAGTTTGTCAATATATTATCAAGAGAAAAACACTGTGAAATAACTAATTACACAGGACTCCATTTTCATGTATTTCATGAGTCAGGCAATGTATTGCTGTATTTATTGTGGTTATAAATTGATGAACAATGGTTTTGATATAAATGAGGTATAAATACAATTAAATTAGTTTAGCTGTCAAATTTAAATATTTCATGAACTTTACTTGCCTATTTCAAAGATTAAAAGGAATCAAATTCATAATTTGATAAACTGAAAAAAACAAAAATAAAAATCAACGATTAAGTATTCTTTGAAATATACTCCTAATGCACTAAATTGGTGCCAAGGAAATGATTTTTGGGGACAAAATTTATATCATATTTTTGATCATAGTCTGTGTTTAATTTAATCTTAAAATCCTTCTTTTTTAAAAGTATATTTATTATTGTATTTGTTCTCCACAGGCTTGTTCTATAGCCACCAAGTTATATTTAATATATAGAAAGTATTTGAATATTAAATATTAGTATTGATATTTAATAATGGTTTATTTACTATTTATCTTATATTTTATATTTAGAAATACCCTGATATTTATTCATATATTTATTCTTTAAGAGTCAGAAAGTCAATAATTTGATATGATAATGTGAAAGAGTGAGAGAAGAGCTAAAACTTTCTTGTAAGAACAACACAGTCTGCCAAAATCGCCTACACTCACAATGTTAAATTTTAAAATTGATATAACATGCAAATTGACAATTACAATGAACTAATGACCCCCATGTCAAATTAATACTGTAAAACAGATCTGAAAACACATTTTCACTTCTATAGAGTACATAATACTTGAGTGTCCTCATACATTAAGTGAAATGTGAAGTGAAAAATAGCACATTTTTTGTCTGATATTGGAGAAAGTATTTCATCATGTTATTTCAAGAAATGTTCTTTATGATATTATACATAAACAACATACCAATTTTATTTAATAACATATGTTAGACAAGAAATTAAGTATGAAAAATGTTTAATTTGGCTTTTTTTTAAAATTCTATTTTGTTATATTTCTTTTTGCTTTGATATGTCAATAGTGCTATTATTCTTGAATTTATTTAGAACAAAATCTTTATAATTTATATTTTAATTATCATCTTAATTCAATATTTCTTTTTTCATTTCTTAAATGTATTTATTTTGTTATTATTTCAGTATTTTGTTATTATTTTATATCAGTACTTGTATTTCAGTTTATCATACCTATTTTTTGAAAAAGCTATTTTATAAATTGTCTTCCTCAAGGAATTTTGTATAATGTATTCTATTCCAAATTGATATCTTCCATTTTGCTAGAAATCTACAAACAGATATGAATATGAAGACAATAGACTTTTCTAGACACAGAGACTGAATCAGACTCTTTCCAAAGCATAGTAGACAGGTTTGGATAAAATAGACTGATCAAGATACAGTTCACTGATTCAGACAGGTAAACATTCTCAGACTCATCAGACTGATCAAGATACAATTCAGACACAGTAAACTGATTACGACTTTGCAAGAGAGACGCACACTGATTCAAAGTCTCTTACAAAGATATTAATCATAATGAAACACAGTAGGCTGTTCCAAATAGAGTAAACTGATTTGGACATAATAGACTGTTCAGACACAGTTAACTGATTTGGACACAGTTTTTGACATAGTAAATACATTTTGACACAATAAACTGAAAAAATGAATCAAGAATTAATGCACTGATCCTATCGAATAAAGTTGATCCAGACTTGTGAACCCAGTAAAGCAAAAAACCTTTTACGAAGATTAAGAAATTCAGATTATAGAATAATTTTTTTTTATGACATTTGAAGAATCGAAATATGGCTGATAGTGTTTTTAATATTTTTATGTACTTAATTTGATACTTTTGGGGTTATATTATATTGGTTGTGAAGCATCAAGCTCTTTGAGATGTATTATTATAATGGTCATTTGTGCCTTTATCCATATCTACCTCATCACATTATTTACTTAATACTCCCTTAGTATTCAATCCTCATTCTAGAGTGTACAAATACAGCAAGTATTTCATACTGGTATTTTTTCCTGCTCACACTTTAGTGCTCAGCAGTTATTGATTTTTATTAACTGGATTAGCTATTATTTGTGGATATCTGATGAACTGTTTATGATAATCTATATATTAGATCTAACAATTGCTCTTTTTTAAAAAATACTAAAACAAAAATCAATTTTTAACTAACATAGTGAAACAAATCTAGTAGAGATTTTAGAATACCATAGTATCAAAACCGAAATTCTGTGAAATATGTATTTTTGATAAGGGTATTTGATAGTAAATTTTCTACCTTGATATCTTTGTGATTGTCATATTAAAGACTATTATACTATTACTTGTTTAAATACAATAACTATCCCTTTACACTCATGTATTTATTAAATAACAAAGTGTTAACTATACTAACAATTCCTTCCAGTCAGAACTTGCCCTTTCATGTAGAATTTTTATACTTATTAATTTATTATCACCTTAACATAATTGCATTTAAACACAAGTCTTATCCTGTCTTTTAACAATGGGTCATGTGTCCATCTTTTCAAAGGTAACACAATAAAATTCTTTTCATAGGTTTATCGAAATTGTAGAGCCATATTTGTAGAGCTATATCTGTGTTGGAAACATGCTCTTAGTCAGAGTAAATCATCCACTTTTGTTAGGATGGAGACATGCTTGTATGAATCATGAATGGAATTATGTTGTCGATTGAATAACACAAAGAATTTGTTTATGAACCATGTTACATTTGAATAAATCTTTAAAACAAACTCTATAGTCTCTATCTATTGTTAATATAATATTTAAACATTATAAATGTTACTGTATATTTATAGAATATATTATAACTCTATTATTTGTTGTTGTTTATAAATTGTATTATATAAAATATAAAGAAAATGTATTTTTATTAAAATGTTGATAATCTTAAAAATGTTTATTTTTATTCACATAACTGTTCTCGAATTTAAACATTTGATAAAAGTTGATAGTGCTTACAGTAACTATCTTTATTTTCACAATATATTAAAGTCCTAAAACACAAACATTATTTAGACCGCTTCACACGGAATGAAGGTGCCTACATAGTGTAAGTTGTTGGATGGGACAATAAACCCCTACAGAGTTTGCTGGTTAAACGATCTCTCATAGTTAGAAATGAGTACTCTAAATTTGTGCTTCTCAACCTAACTGAGATAATTCCTCCCCGAAAGATGTCTTCCAAATTAATTCTTACCCGAAAAAAATCAGTCACATGAAAAGTATTTCTCTCAAAAAATGTATTCAATCATGCTCCACGTAGGGGTAGTTCAATGTGACCTTGGACCGAATGTCCATATTTTGTGTATGTCCGGGGTGAATGATATCAATTTCAGTCGGTGATCATTTCCTCCCCGGTCTGCCGATACCTCCCTGTTCCCCCTTGGTATAGTTCCTCCTCATGGTCTTCCAATTCCTCCCCTGTTGAGTAGCACTGCTTTAAAAAATATTGTCCTCTATCCAATGTGTAGGCCTACTGCGTTTTCGATCAATTAATTCCATCTTACAGAAACTCTGGAAAGATCTATTGTCTAATATAAAGTCTTTAATCGAATTTT